GATCACAGAGTAGTCTCTGACAAAGCTGGCTCTTCGGCCTAGCAAAGGAGATGAGCACCGCCCCCTATGCTCAGACACGACTTGGCAACGGGAAATACCTTTACCTTTAATTCTCACAGACTGAGGGTCATCATGCAAACATTACAACTCAAGCTACATATGGCAGAAATATAGTACTTAGGAAGTACAATCTGAAACATTTTCTTAGGGGTAAGCCCCACAGAGCTCAGTGGAGTGTGTTTTCAGCTAGGTGTGTTGAGGATGACAACTAGACTATTTTGATGTTCAGGGCAAATCCTATTCCTTCACTGACTTTCACCCATAACATTTTATATTTTGATTTATGTTCTACTGAAGAATGTAGAACATGCGCACACGTGCTTGCAAGCACATATGCTTGCAAACACACTGTAGCTGCCTAGTGGCTGAAGGAGGTATCCACTCTGCACAATTATAGCAGTTCGATCCTACCTTAATTGCCCCAGGTCCATCCTATAGAATCCAGAGATTTATAGTTTTGGTGAGGCACTTGGGATTTTTCTAGTGCTACACCTACTAGAGTTTTCTGGCAGGAAATTCTAGGTACCTCTCAAACCTGCAAATCCCAGTATTTCATAGGATGGAGGCAAAATTGTTAAAGTGGAACCAAACTGCTATATTGCATAATGTGGGGACCCCTAGGTTCTTTTTAAAATAAAATTCCACTTCAAAGGTTATGGGTCCCACCCAATGAATTACATGACACAGACTTTTACCTAAATGTTATTGGATGCAAGTACTGTACGTGACAAATGTATTCTTAGAAAGAGAGGAGGATGAGGATGAGGAATTCTTCTTCTTAAGAAGATTGGGAGGGGGCAAATCTGTGAATTTTCTCTTAAAACATTCCTATCATGCTGCTTCATATTCATTAATTAGTCTGAGGGTTCCTTCGTGTTTATTTTACAAAGCTGCTTAAACCCACGCACCCATTTAACATATTTATGACCCCAGTTTTCTTTCTTTTTTCTGAGACTGTACCGTAATTGTTCTCTGGACTCAGGGACTGCAGAGGGCCTTCCCTGATGAAAAGAGACAACATAAAGAAGGAAATGAATGTGCAGGGGATGAATACCTTCCACAAAGCAACTGGGTGCAATTTGGCCCATGGCCCCAGGGGTCACTTTAATAGAGTGGTGTCTCAGACTCTATTGAGTGTACGGGAGACTATTAACTCTTAACAACTCTTGGTCTCTCAGGTTATTTATTTATTGCTTAAATGATTTGCTATTGCTACTTGAATTTAATATATCCTCTGGGAACCGAGATGGCAGCATCGCATTACAAAAAAACCTACAAGTTATTTTAAAACTGTAATTGAGATTTTACGAGCATCATAAAATCTTTCTGAACAAATAACGGACCGTTAGTCAGAAACTACAGCAGGAGATCTGTAAAATTAAGTATATATTAGAACAGTACTGTATTTGTATCCTTCTCTTTAAAGCATGGTGGTGTGCACGGAGAGCAACAGAAAAGCTAAATATTTACTGCTTTGCATGTTCATTATTACTGTTAGAATTTAATAATGCTTAACACTTACGTGGCACTTTATAACAGTAAAGACAGAACAGGGAAAAAGTGAAAAACACAATCATATAAAATGTGGAAGCCTCTCCCTTTTACAGTAGATGCTGTCGACAAATTAAAGGTCCTTTGGGAAGAAAGGGGAGAGGGATTTTTCAGTCACATCTCCAGCTCTGCCTTGCCCAGGTTAAAGCTGTGATTCTAAAAAGATGGACACATTTTTTGAGATCTCCAAATCCCTCCATTAGACAAGACGCTATCAAAAGTGAGATGGAAGTGGAGGTTATTTGGGTGGGCTTATTTAAATAAATGAATGAGGAAATGAGATTTGCCCGCTCAGAGTTTTCAGGTGAAAATGTGGCAGAAGGAAGGGTTTGCAGGTGATGTGATTGTTTAAGGTTGTATCTGAGACTGCTCCTAGGACAGCTGCAAGGAAGAAACACAGAGACAGTGCCTGTGAATGGGTTTATTACTGTGGTTTTGCCTGAAGTGATGCTTACTTGGATTCTGGCCTTTGACAAAAGAATGCTGATATTCTTTATTGACTGCAGATGGTCCACCAAATGGGCAATTCACCTGCAGGCCTGGGGTCAGGGTCAGACAGAGACTGGACTAAGCTCAGTGCTTGAGAGATAGATGACTGTGTGCCAAAACAGCTGTCTGCAGTTAGAGGGAGGGGGAATCAATTTGGGTAAATGGAATGTGCACCAAAGGGAAGAGAATTTGCCATGACAAGTTTCACCCCTACCCTATAGTGTAAGTGAATAATCCTATGTGCAGGGTAAACATACAGGCCTGTCTAAGGTCTGTATGTTGTTGTTTTTCAAGTCCCCTAAGACAACAGCATGGTTTAGTGGACTGAATGTTGGACTATTACTCTGGAGACCAGGGTTCGAATCGCTGCTCAGCCATGGAAACCCACTGGGGGGCCTTGGGCAAGTCACACTCTCCTCCCCTCAGAAGCAGGCAAAGGCAAACACCCTCTGAACACATCTTGCTAAGAAAACCCAGTGATGCATTGACCTTAGGGCTGCCATGAATTGGGAATGACACAACAATAGCAATAAACCTGCATGGCTAAGTGCATACAAACAACAAAATTATTATTATTATTATTATTATTATTATTATTATTATTAGCCTCTCTCCATGGATTGAGGTGGGGGGAAACAACAACAGACAAACAATCATTAGTTAAAAGGATATTGGTTAAAACACACATCAATTAAAAGAACAAACAAGATGTACACATAGTAAAACAATCTAAATTTGAAATTCATCATTTAAAAGTCACAATTTAAAAATCATCTGAATAAGCCTGCCAGAAGAGATTGGTCTTTAACGCTCCTTTGAATTTAGACAGTGTATTCAGGTATCGAATCTCTTCCAGCAGGTCATTCCACAGTCCAGGGGCAGCTGAAGAAAATGTCCTCTGGCTGACAGTTGCCAAGCTAGTCCTGGCTGACCAGAGTAAATATCCGTTTGAGCAGGGGTAGGCAACCTAAGGCCTGGGGGCTGGATGTGGCCCCCCGAGGCCTTTGGACCGGCCCCAAGCCGGTCCTGCTGCTGCCGCCCGCCTCCGCCGCCCACCATGATGATATTGATTATTGTTGTTATTACTTGTTCTTGGGGTTTTCTTGGCAAAATCTCCACAGGGGTTTTGCCATGGCTTTTCTGGGGCTGAGAGAGTGTGCATGCATATCTTTTAAATTTATTTTTTATTTTTATTTTTAATTTTTATTTTTGGTGCTTTGCCCCCCCCCCATTGTCTGAGGGACAGCAACCCGGCCCCCAGCTCAAAAAGGTTGCCTACCCCTGTGTTAGAGGATCTGAGCATACAGGGTGGATTATATAGGAGGCGGTGATTCTGTAGGTAACCTGGACCCAAACCATGTAGGGCTATAAAGGCAATAACCAACACATAGACTGATCTTCTTGGCCTGCTGGTGATGTGGAACTCTCTGCCACTGGACTTATGTAAGTGCTCAAGGGGTGACAGCTGAGCTTTCCTCTCTGGGTATGCAAGGGTAGCCAGAGGCTCCTTGGTCCACCTCTGTCCTGGCTTCTGGTTGGCCACACAGCTGCCCTTGTGCATCCAGGGAATTGTGCAAGGAGGAAACTGGATATGTCTTCTTGCAACATCTTTAAAAGCACTTATGTTGACATAAGTGGCCCTAGCTTAGGGTTGCTATAATTCTCTTCCACAAAACTGGGACAAAATGTAGGGGAAAATGTAAGACATTCAAGAAAAATGGAGGATACAACCAACTAAAAGCCAAAAACATTAATATAAGTGCATGTTTCTCAGTCATGCTCAAAATGGCAATTACTTTCCAACCTATGGCAACCCTAAAGTGAAGTATCATGGGGGGTTCTTGGCAAGCTTTGTTTAGAAGGGGTTTGCCATGGCCATCCTCTGAGGCTGAGAGAAAGTGACTTGTTCAAGGATCACCCAGAGGGTTTCTATGACTGAGCCAGAATTCAAACCCTGGACTCCCAGTGTCCTAATCCAACGCTCAAACCACTGGCTCTCCCACTATAGATACATATACATGTGTGTGTGTTTTAAAATAAAAATTATATACAATACAAAAGAGGAGAAGGGGAGAAACCATCTCTGTCTGTGGAAGGATAACTGTGTTCTGTTCCCCTCAGAAGTCCCCTATGAGGTGGTTCTGGGGACCCCAACCTGTCTACCTGTGAGGCAGGTGAGGAGAAGCCAGAGTGGAGGAGTCCTCTTGCCCTCTTACCTGCGTATCGGAGCTCTCCTCCACAAGCCGCTTGGTGTCCCCATCCCTTCCTCAGCTGAGGGAAGGCAGCAGCCCCATGCTGTGTGGAGCCCTTCTTCTAATGGGCTGCCAGTGCCTCCGCAAGCCCAGCCCCTGAGCCAGATGGGGAGGTGAAGGTAGCAGCCATGGCCTGGAACCTCTTGCTCCTCAGGGCCAGGCCTGGGCTGTGCATGAGGGTGCCAAAGCCTCTAGCAGAGGCTTTCAGTGGCAGGGAGCTCTACCACCTGTAGCCCCAGGTTCTTCAGGCCCCACGCTTCAGCCCCAGCCCAAGCCCCAACCAGGCCTTGCAAGCCGTGCTGGATCTCCTTGGGCCTTGGCCAAAGCCCCGCATGTGGTGGTGCCTTTGCCCCAGGAAGAGGCAAGCAGAGGATGCCAAAGAGGACCAAGACCATCTTGGAGGAGGAGGAGAAGGAGGAGAAGGAAGAGATGACTTTCTGCCTTGTTGCATCCACATTTTCTCTAGTCAACTGGAGAGTGACAAATTGTGGCCTGGAACAAGGCAGCAATCCAGGATTGGAGGATCAAAAATGCCCAGCTGGGATGGGATATTTTTTTGGACCTTCCAATCCGTGAATGTCCCGGGAAAAAACGGGAAATGGCAACCCTACCCTAGCTACACAAGAGGTTCTTCACACAACCAAATCAATAGAGGTGGGAAAGGAGGTTGGTCTTGCTACCATGACCCCATGCATGCTCAGTCTGTTCAGAATGCCCGAATGAAAATGACTAAGTGGTGAGGGCAGTCAGAGTTTGTTGAAACTGGGGATACAGATTTTGGAAGCTTGCTAAGGTAATATGCTGCTCTTCATATATTTTGGACTATAACTCCCACTATCTGTGGTTATGGAGGTCGGGGAGCTCTCACTAACTGCAAAGGCAAACCAGAGTGAATCCTTCCCAAGCATGGGTCATCCTAGGAAGTCTCTTCCTGGTACTCTGGTACTTCAGCTTTTGATTGGCAAACAAGAAGAAGGAGAAGGAGAACAACAGGCAACAACACATGCTTGTTCTGGTTCTCCATACCCACCCCAAGTGAACAGAAAGATCTAAGTCACCTGGAAGATGGTGGTTGCCTTCCCTTGCCTCTGGTCCACAGGCTCGCAAATGGGGACCCAAACCCTGGTGGATATGGGCCTGGTGGCACAGTGGTTAAATGCCTGTACTACAGCCACTCAATCATAGACCACAAGGTTGAGTGTTCAATACTAGCCAGGGCTCAGGCTAGACTCAGGCCTGCATCCTTCCAAGGTTGCTAAAATGAGTACCCAGCTGGAAATGAGCTTACAGTTGTAAACCGCTTAGACATCCCATCGCACGATATGAAGTGGTATATAAATGAAGCTGCTTTTGCTTTGCTTTTGGGGACCAGAAAATTAACTGGAAGGGTGGGAAAGCTAGACCTTTGTGCTATGTACTGATTTGGCACCAATAACCATTTGTCAAGTATAATTCTTGGTTAAACCAAGGAGACAGGGAGCTATAATGTCCCATTATAGCCCCCTGCTAGAGGGCAGAAAATATCACAGGGTGCAAAAAACATAATCACATATTTTGCAAAAGAAATAAGTAAATAAATGATGGCTTGGGTGAACTTTGAGAGGGTCAAAAATACATTTGGTGGGCTCTTGAAACTTTTGAGATATGCTAACTTTGCCCATCTCTGTCCTAAATCCAGAACTAATCCAGGAGAGACCATTATTGTATACTGGGTGCAAGCATCTGTCTGGGATTAGGGGGATGCACTGGACCCCACCTAAAGCCCACCATTAGCTACACCAATGATCAAACTCCTGTTGCATTTCCAATGCAGTAGTGATGGCCATGTTTTCCATCAGTGTTGCTGTTGTCATCAAACTTCAGCATGAACTACAGATGTTGTCTGGGATGTAGAATGATGTCTGCTTTCCCATGCCATAGAGCAGGGGTAGGCAACCTTTTTGAGCCAGGGGCCAATCCCCTGAAGTCCTACCTTCCGGCGGGCCTGCAGGGGAGGGGGGAATGGCGGTGCGCATGCTCATGCACGCGTGCACGACCCCCCATGCACACTGTCACCGCCGCTGCCGCCACCACTCCACGCGCTGCCGCAACAGCCTCTGCGCATGTTGCGGCTGCCATTTTGTTCTCCAAAATGGCACCCACGATGCGTTTGCGCATGTGCAGTACTCCTGCACATGCGCAAACGCATTGTGGCCACCATTTTGGAGAACAAAATGGCAGCCATGGCGCGCGCAGCCGTGCAAAGACCAAAACACGCTGCAGCGGTGGCAGGTGGCGGCAGTGGCGGCAGGGGTCTGCCTGGGCCGGTAAGCGCAGGGCCCTGGGCCGGAACCGGCCTGGGGGCCATAGGTTGCCGGCCCCTGCCATAGAGCTTTCCCAGTTTGAAGGGTCAAGCATGTTTTTCCATTTGAGAAGCGGAGGAGGGAACACATTTTGTACAGGCTAATGATTTTCAGTGGTGTAGCACCATCAGTATCAGTGATACTATCATTGTTGTAGTGACAAATGGTGGGGGGGGGCACAAAAGGCCTGGTGGGTTCTTGGGTCAGATATGTTGGTTTGTTGTGTGCTGTCAAAATGTTTACACACCAAAAAAATGCTGTTTTCTGCACATAATATGCTAGGATTCTTCTCATCAGAGTTTCTTGACATGCGGAAAATTTTTCTGTGCTAGTTATAAAAATATTTTGAAATATCCTTTCCATCACTAGTATGTGAGGAGACTACTCCAGATATAATCTGAGGAATCTATCTACAGACTGAAGAAATCTACCGTAGTTGAAATCAAAGGAAAGCTGAACATGGGTTCACACATGAAGTTTTTTGTGCTGTTAACTATTGTACTTTGCACTTTATTTGAGTCTTTATTTATTTATTTCCCAAGTCAATGCTTCTAGAACAGTTCACACACATGCACAAGGGGGGCTACATTTATAGCTGATCCTGGGCCCCAGCCATCTTAATCTAGGCCATTCACCACATGTAGTTTCTACCTGCTTTTTGAAACCCAAGCCCACAAAACTGCCTCCTGTGCAACAGCAATTGCCTAAATCCAATATAACTCTAGAACAGGAGTAGGCAACCTTTTTGAGCAGGGGGCAGGTCCCCCAAAGTTGTCCCTTCTG